GGCAAGTACTTGGATGGGAGACCTCCAAGGAATACCAGGGCTGGGATGCAGAGGCAGGCAATAGGAAGCCAACTACCTGAAACATCCAAGCCCCACCAGGGGTTGCTGTAGGGGTCGCCAGAAGGCAACCATCATTTCCAGGGATGCTTACACACACACACAAACAGAAAATAAGTATAAAGACAAGAGTCGTGAGAGTTGTACACTACAGAGTATCTCCTAAGATCCAATTTTGAAACGTCGTTATATAATCCGGAGACGACGTTGATTATGTACTTATGCACAAGGATTTTCTTATGATTTATTAATGGTGTTGTGGTGCTTTAGATTATAATACGTAGGAAGCTTTTTCTTTGCAAGTCTTGGTGACTGCTTGATTTGGGGTCAGACTCTCACGACTGTTGTCTTTATACTTATTTTCTGATTGGGTCGTGTTTGTCCATATTTATCTACACACACACACCAATGCTCCCTCTAAGCTGTGGAGTCTTGCGAGCAAACATTCTACTTTGTGAGCTACTGGCAGTAAAGTTGTGGGGGCGAGTAATTTGGCTCCTGCATAAGTTAGTCTGCTCTGGAGCCATCCCTTCCTGAGCTAAGGCAAAAATGTGTGAGCTGGAGGCTCACACTAAGCTTAGAGGGAACATTGACACACACACACACACACACACACACACACCAAAAAAAGAGGAAGTCCAGGAGCTGCTATGAAGAGGAAGGCAATGGCAAACCACCTGTGTTCGTCTCTCGCCTTCAAAACCCCATGGTCTTAGGGTTGCCATAAGTTAGTTGCAACTTGACAGCACACAGTTGTACTGGATGGTTGGTCGCCTGATAGCTCCAGCCTCACTGTTTCTTGTCAGAGCTCAGAAGCTAATCAGCGTCAGCCATGGTTAGTATGCATGAAGTGGCCTCCTACTGAATCAAACCTTTGGCCCGTCAGTGTCAGTATTGTCCGCTCACACTCGTGGCAGTTCTCCAAGGTCTTCCACATCACCTCCTGCGTGGTCCTTTCAACTGGAGAGGCAAGGGGTTGGCAGTTGGTGCCTCCTGCATGCCGCACAGATGCTCCACCACTGAGCCGTGCCCCTCCGCCCAGTGCTCAGAGGGGGGGCCACCAAGGAAGTCCAAGGGTCACTGCAGAGGCAGGCAACGGCAAACCACCTCTGCTCGTCTCTTGCCTTGAAAGCCCCATGCTCCTGGGGTCACCGTGGGTCAGCTGTGACTTGGTGGCACATAGTTGTGTTAGATCAGGGGTGTCGAACATAAGGCCCAGGGGCTGGAACTGGCCCGCCCAGAGCTCTTATGCGGCCTGCGAGCAGCTAGTGCAAGGGAGGGAACAGAAGGGGGGAGGGTGGGATGCAAATCCAATAAATAAATAAAGACTGCTTGGGGGGGAGTGGGTAGAGCCACTCCAATTGTGGCTTCAGCATGGCAGAACAACCTTGTCTGCAACAGCAGACAAGGAGCATGGGAGTGTATGCCCAGCATTGTACCGCTGTCTCTCCAGTTTGCACATATAGGTTTTCCTTTGCAATGGGGCCTTGCAGTGAGGATACATGAATTCGGAGCTTACCAGCTGCCATCCTTTATACAGTTTATATCTCCGGTACCTGGCACTACATTCATGGCACACGTGGCCTGGCACGACAAAGTGAAATTTATGTCAGATACGACCCTCGTTACAAATGAGTTCGACACCCCTGTATTAGATGGTAGGAGGAGCCGCTATTTTGATTGGTCTATTCCAGTGCAAAGCAACCCCCTCCCCACCACCTACAGGCTGGGGAGAATCCCCCCTTTCCCTCTCCAATGCATATTCTCCCCCTCCGTCGCGTTAGTGGCCTTCCGCTGTGTATCCTGCAAGACCGTGTGAAAAAGAAGAGGAAGAGATTGGATTGATACCCCGCCCTTCACTACCCGAAGGAGTCTCAGAGCACCTGCCAATCTCTTTTCCCTTCCCCTCCCCACAACAGACACCCTGTGAGGTAGGTGGGGCTGAGAGAACTCTGAGAGAACTGCCCTTGAGAGAACAGCTCTGAGAGAACTTGTGACTGACCCAGGGTCACACCAACAGCTGCATATACTATTCAAGAACAGTTAAATCCAGTTTAAAACAGTTGAAACAATTAAAACTAGCAATCACAACTAATTCAGATGGCACTGGATACCAATTTATAGCCTTCCCCATGAAGAGGAAAGAAGAAGAAGAAAAGATTGGATTTATTCCCTGCCCTTCACTCCCCAAAGGAGTCTCAGAGCGGCTTGCAATCTCCTTTCCCTTCCCCTCCCCACAACAGACACCCCGTGAGGGAAAAGAAGAAGAAGAGGAGATTGGATTTATATCCCGCCCTTCACTACCGAAAGGAGTCCCAGAGCATCTTACAAACTCCTTTCCCTTCCCCTCCCCACAACAGGCACCCTGTGAGGTAGGTGGGGCTGAGAGAGCTCTTCACAGAGACTGCTCTTTTTCAAGAACAGCTCTTATCAGAACTACGGCTTGCCCAAGGCCATCCCGCCAGGTGCAAGTGGAGGAGTGGGGAATCAAACCTGGTTCTCCCAGATTAGAGTCCGTGCTCTTAACCACGACACCAAACGGGCTCTCTGAGATAGGGGTGCCAGCTCTGGGGGTGGAACCTGGAGAGGGTGTTGTTTGGGCGGGGGAGGGACCTCAGGTGGGCACAGGGCCATATGGTCCATCCTCCAAAGCAGCCATTTTCTCCACGTGAACCGATATTGGTCCTCTGGAGAGCTACGGTGATAGCGGGAGATCTCCACGTCCCACCTGGAAGCTGGCAGCCCTAGTGTGAGTTGGCTGCCCACAGTGCTACCTGTTAGCACAAAAATGAGATCCCCGTGCAGTTTCTCCCCCACCCCTGGGAGAGGAATGCCTTCAGAGGCAAGTCTGGAGGAATGCACATTCTTGAAAGGGGAGGAGAAGGCAGAGAATGAGCGTCAGCAGTGAGGCCACAGAGAAGCCCATGTCGAAAGCTCAACATTGTTCAGGGATGTAGCACAGTTAGCTTAACCGGACTTCTGAAATGAATAAGATCAAGGTCAGCGGGGGCGGTAGCTCCACCTGTCCTACCACTGCACAGGATTGGAAGGAATCTGGGTCTCCTGCCGTGCCTGGCGTCTTCACGCTTGCCCACGTGACAAATCGGTGACGTGAGTCATAAGACCCAGTGACCATAATCGTAAGACCATGACTCATAAAACCTGGACACGGCAGCCCTGCAAATGCACCAAGTGACTCAACAGGGACAGGCATTAAGTGGTCAAGACGGCATTGTTCTTTGCATTCCCTAACGGGGAGAAAAGTCCAGCACTGGGAAGGGAAAACTGCACTGAAACTCCAGCGCCCTTTCGTAGGGGGACGGGACAGCGGCTTGGTTCTTGTGGTGGTTCTTTTGCATATCCTAAGTAGCCATGGCACCTGCTTTTTGCTGAGAGAAAGGCACCTTTAGGTTCACATCAGTTGCTTTCTCCCCCCCCCCCATTTTGGTCACCCAAGGCATGGTCTTCAGGTAAATCTAAGTTATCAGGTATATGATCCTCTGCACCAGGGGTCCCCAACCTCTTCTGAGCCTGTGGGCACCTCTGGCATTCCGACACTAGTGGGCACCGCCACAAAATGTCTGCCACAGGAGGCGGAGCCAGCCATACAATGGCTGCTGCAGCTTACCTTCGGTCATGTCCTTGAGATGTGGTTGCAGCTGCTGACGCAATGTTTTTGAAAGTCTGCATGGCCAATCAGAAGCCTTGCTGGGCAAAAAGCCCCACCTGGCCCCGCCCACTTCCTAAAAAACGGGTGGGCACCCGGAAAGGTGTCAGCAGGTGCTGTGGTGCCCGTGGGCATCACGTTGGGGACCCCTGCCCTACACCTCTGTCATTCACCAAGAATGGACTGGGGAGGGGAGAGGGCTTCGATACTTGCCTCTTTGGATTTTTAACCCCCCTGCAAGGAGATCAGGGTAGTGTACAAGGTCCATACACACCACCTTCAGTCCTTATCCACCCTATGACGTAGGCATGTGTTTCAGTGGG